AACACGACAAAAGACTGCAATGTCTTCTAACCAACAATGCTCTGTTGTGGAAAGAGTGGACAAAAAGTTCTTGGGTGTAGATAAAAGAGAAGATCTCTCTGAGACCATTAACAGCACACCATTAACCAATCAAGCCCAATAATGACTATTTTCACCACAACCCAAGAAGAGCTAGAGAACCAATAAAATATATATATATTTTACCATAGGATCATCAAGAGGATCCTGACCAGCTGTAATATAATATACAGTAAGTGTTATGTGTTGGCATCATTGTATGTTCCCATACAATGGTGAAATTGGTTTCTGCATTTAATCCATCGCACCTGGGATACACCCAGGTGGAACAGTGGGCAGCTATGTATGTGCCCAGGGAGCAATTAGTGATTGGGTGTCTTGCTCAGAGACACCACAACATGTGGGAATGGCTGGGTATTGAACCTGGGACTTTTGGGTCCCAGGTCAGCTGCCCTACTTCTACCCCATCTCGGCCGCTAAACAGTAAGACTAAAAGTTTATGTTGCAGCCCCTCTCCCTCAGACCAAACAATACTGAATACTGATCAAAAACAAGACTCAAAATAATATTGTTAGAAATTGTATCCTTCTGAATGGGTTAACTGAATCCTTGGCCCTCTTGCTTCTCTTTTTTTTTTTTTTTTTTTTTTTTGAGGGCCTGTCACTGAATGCCATATAGCATGAGCTTATGCTAACAAATGACAAAAAAGGCAAACACGCTGGTTTAAGTCTCATAAGTTAGGTGTCATTTTTTTAAGTCATCAGCACACTGATATATGATGGTCCACCAATATTCTTGTTCATACATAAGATTTTCAGTGTATGCCAACGTGTTGCTGATAAGTTGGGCATAAGTTACAGGTATGCAACAAGTTATGCATAAGTTACCACAAGTTACATATAAATTACTCATAAGTTATTCATAAGTTGATATACGTCAGAAATCAACAAGGAAATTGTGTACCTGTGCATAACTTATTTCTGATCTATGAATACCTTGATCAACGCAACATTTGTGTTATGCTGAACTTGTGCACAGCATGTTGGAGCATATTACAACAAAAAATATGACATCAGAAAAGGGCAGCTCTCTGCACCCCCAGTCATTAATTTTGCAGTGATCGACATGCCTCAGAACAAATTAAACAAATCTGTCATAAAGGAAGCTGCAGCAGGATTCTCCATCACTGTGGTGATAAGTGAGGTGAACGTCAGGAAGTGAATATCATATGGACCCTATATATGTCTGAACTCCAAAACCATGGCAAAAACACTAGCTGTAAATTATAAACACATGAGCCAGAGCCAACTGTTCACTCTTTATTATTGTAACTAAAATAAATAAATAAATAAATAAATATAAAATCAGAGAACTTAAGCTGCTGTTGCAGCCACAACTCAGGCTATACCTGAGCTATTTGCTTTAGTGCTCAGTCGCTCTCCTCTACAGTTCTGTACTTCTCTTCTGTTTCTCTTCCACACACACACCTAGTCAACTCACTGTTATTGTATGTTAGCTGCCCTCATCGCAATCTGCTACAATGTCCTGTGCATAAGTTAAGGATGTTTCATAAAGTCGATCATAGAATCTGCACAAGCCAATAAGTGCTGCCATGCCCTTGTAAAAGTTAAGTGTAAGCTAGAGACAAATTATGGATAAGTTACTTATGGGTTATTTATTTGTTCAACTCGTTAGCAATACAGTATGTATACCTCCAAAAAAGGTTTCCAGTTGATTTTTTAATCAGAATCAGAATGCTTTTTATTATCCTTGCACAGTGAAGTACAACAAAATTACTTTTCATATACACAAAGTTTGTTTTCTCAGTCATCCAGGTATATAACAACAAAAAAGGTTGAATCATGTCATCTGGACTTCGTTTTTTTGTTAAAAAGAAACATTTCGCCCCTCATCCAAGAGGCTTCGTCGGTCTGAGGCCTAGCCATCTGGTATTACCCAGAAGCCACCCTGACTCTTGTGTTCCAAGCCTGCCTCAGATACCCCTGAAGTCTGGCCTTTTCACTAATGGTTTCAACCTGATTCAACCTTTTTTGTTGTTACTTTTCATATAGTCATCCTAAAGATGGCCAGAAGTGTACAGGGGGCTGCAGCTTCTAAGATACGCTGCCCCTGTTGCTTAGATAAGAAAAGGGGAAGAAAACATAAGGAGAGAGGTATAAAAAAGATCTCTCACACCGTGTCCTTGACAGGGTACAGTTTGAGGCATCAAAAAATCTACCACAGCAAAGCAACTTAAATAGACATAATACATATGTGTGTGGAGTGGGTAGGGGTGAGGGTCCCAGCATGGCCGCCAGGTGTGCGATGCAGCCCTTGGCGCCTTCACATCTCCTATGTTGCTGCACCAAGAGAGGCCAGTGGAGGCAATGAGTTTTAGGGAAGGTCATAGTGCAGCACAGTCCAGAGCCCCACCCCCCAGTCATAGTCCTGATAAGAGATGTTTGTTTATCAGCCAACTCGGTTGAGCTCTGTCACAGGTCCATGATCTTGGGGAAGGGAGGGGGTGGGGAGGGGGACAGAGCATCTTTGTTTCCATGACACCCAAGGAGAAATTTGAGATAGTTCGCCTTCCAAGGTCAGGTCCAGATTCAGATATCAGCAGTGTTTTGGGTCAGGCTGAACTCGTAAATTTCCGTGTCTGCATTAACAGTCTCGCTCGTACATTCTCTCATGGTGATTCCAAACAGCCAAATTTGATTACTTGCACCAAGTCGAGCTTACAACTCCTCCAAGATTTATTCCTTCCAACTGTTCATAGACACTGCCATGAAAGTTCCGATACAGCACCACATAGTTCGCACGTAGTCTTGAGTGTTGCCAAGCTCGGCACATTCTCCACATTCCAGGAAGCTTTAAACAGCTGCTGATGTTTATTTGTCCAAATTTGTTGACAATCCAGATTTCCACTAACTCCAAACAGTAAAATCCAGTGATCATAGATCCAATTATGTTTCCCTGACTACCTGTTAAAAATTTATCAATTTCGTTGAGAGACCAGCTGATCAAATCCATCGCTAAAAATTTGGAAGGTATGCAAAAAAGGGGCTCTGAAAAAGGTTCACAAAACAAAGAGCAAAGCAGGGACTGGAGAGAGACGGAGCAGAGGAGGACATGTCTGCCTTCCACCGAGAGCAAGCAGGGGGAAAAAAATCCATCTTCTGTGTAGTCAGATTTGAGAATTTAGAAAATTTACTGTCACAAATGTTTTTAGACAGTTCATTACTACATTCACGTACTGTAGAAACAATATTGACATTGACGCTAACTGATACATCTCATCTCTAAATGTACATACTAATTCGTAGTAGACCTTCACCTTAATTTTTCATCCACTTAGTGCAGTGCACCAATACCACAGCATTATGGTACTGTAACCATGCTTGATATTTAGTACAGTGAACTTACGTTAACTACAATCCAACACATCTGACACTGGTCACATAAAAGTATAAGTATCGTTTGTGCTCACACCTTGCCATTTGAATGGGTACTCCTAAATATTTTTGTCATGAATTACATTTGGATAATAATAACCAGTACTGCGTCAAACAGAGGGTTATCAGAGAGCAACAAACAAGCAATCTGCAGGTCTGCTGATATTTCTGTAATAATTATAATGCATTCAGACATTATTACTATTGTTGTTGTTGTTGTTGTTGCTATTGTCATTATTATTACTATGATTGTTATTGTTGTTGTTGTTGTTGTTACCACAGTTTTGAGTCATTTTAGACATATTCTTGACATCTGTATAAGATTTATTACCTTATGGAGAGAATTTTAAGAAGTGCATTTACTGGTGACTTTACAAAGCTCAGTGTCCAGAGCAAAGATGGGAGGTTTTTATCAAGTAAAAATGTAGACCATTGAAGCACAGTGCAAAGAAATTCTAATTAAAATCGTTAGCCAAAATAAAATAAAATTATTCAAAAAATTCAAAAGAATGTTTGCTGATTAATTATTTTTAATCAGCTGACAGCTAAACATTTATTTAATCCAAAAGCTCAAGGTAAATCTCCACTGCTTGTGTATGGACGCACCAGTTTGTTGCACATCCTGAAGGTGAACTGTGTTTAGATAGCCAAACATACGCTGATAGAAGTAGGACCATCTCGGAATGTAGCCTCAATGGAAAGGTTTAAATCCACACTGAGGTTTATGTGTCGATTTGTGTCATTGGACCACAACCTAATGGCTCAGAATGAAACGGCAACATGTCTGAACACACACTCCTAGGCTCAATTTAGAGTTTACATGCATAATTTTAACTGTGGGAGGAACATGGAGAACCTTGAGAAAACATAAACATACACAAGAACGTGTAACATTCATACAAAAAGACCATAGTCAGGATTCAAACCTAGGACATTCTTGCTGTGAGACAACAGTGCTGACCAACTGCACCACCGTGCAGCCCAATGTCTCGTGCCTTACTTTTGAATACTTTAGTTTGCTTGAGCTGTTCTACGTTTGGGACATTGTTGTTTGACCTCATCATGGATCAAAGAGTAGCACAGTTCCAATCTTCTGTATGTCTCACATTTAGCAGAACTGACAATAAGTCTGATTTGATAACAGGCAGTGACATCATTTTATTTACAGGATCTACCACATAAAAGATCAAAATTATACTCTCCATCCTTATTGTTGGCAAATGTTCTTTAGTGATGTAAGAGTTGAAAATTGCATAATAAAATGGTTCTCCACAGAGTGGAGCAGAAATTTTCGTTCCGTTCACAACAATCAACACCACAGGTGGGTGATATTTATGTTTTATTTACTGCTCTTTCCTGCTCACAGAGCAAACTGTGCTCAACTTTCACCACAAGCGATTATCCTCATCATGACAAACATTAAAAGGATTTTATATTTAATATACCACAGGTAATCTAAAGCTTGTTTATTTATGAGCTTTTAAAGAGCAAAAGTGGCAGAACCTGCCGGTGTGGCAGAATACCTACCTTTCTTTGTGGTAAGACGAGAGCAAAGAACGAATCTCATCTGACAAATCTGGAACTACAGGGCGTTCTCTGGGACTGTAAGGTGTTACTGTAAAGAAGGAGGAAGAAAGAAAAAACATTTAAAATACTAAACTCTCAATCCACTTGTGGTCTCTGAGTACTGTAGTATTTTGTTCCTTTTTTGTTGCACACAAGTTCAACAAGACTATTTCATTATTCAAAAAACATGCACTTATTTATGTTTTTACTCTATTTTCTGACATGTACTTGAGTTTTTGTGCTCGTTTTGTTCAGCATGACTGGGTTTTTTGTCATCAGGTGTCAGAGATAACTCAGACACTCACGTCAGCATTGTCTGGCTTGTGGTTGCAGGCCTTTGTTGGGTTCTGTTGTCTACCTTTGAGATCCGGTTCTTTCATTCAAGCAATAGTTTTTCTTTTAAGCTACATAAATGTTATTCCAACTGGCTGACAATAAAAACCTGTCATCTTATCGTCACACTTTGTTTCAACACGGTACATACTGTATGTCTGTGTGGAAGCAGACTGTTACACACAGTAGAGATGTTATTATTTGAAACACTAAGATTTTTTATAAAAACATTATATTTGTGCCTTTTTGGGAGGGAGTGGGAGGTTGGGGATGGGGGGTTTATTTGTCATTATTAGTCAAAATCACTGTTAAATCTGCCAGTTTTTTTTGCTTGTGTGTGTATGAATATCTGACTGTTAGCAAAATACAGTATTTGATAAACATCTGAACAGATTTAAATGAAACGTTCACAAAGAAATCTTTGAACTAAAATTAGCAACAACAACAAAAAAGCACATGCTATGAGCTCTACATACAAGTATGATGTAACACCTTTGTCCCAATTCAGGAAGGCTGCAATACTAACAACAGACAAAAAAAAACATACTCTGAATGCTAATACTGTACATCTCATGCATGACATTGTGCAAAATGTAATTTACAAGGTTTGAACAAAATGGCTATAACTTATCATGAGATTTTTTGGGGGGGAGGGGGAGTTGCTTACTTTCTCATGGGTGGCCAAACTCGCAACTACGATGGACTGGAGGCCTGTCCAGACAGTGTCCTCCACCTCTCATACAGTGACTGCTGGATATGGGCACCAGTCACCCCCGCAAGCCCGAACAAACTAACCAACCAACCGACCAAACTGACTAACTAAGCAACTCGCATGAAGACTTGGCGATTGTTTTTATGCCAGATGTCCTTCCTGATGCAGCCACAGACCACCGAGCTACCACAGCCCTCTGTGTGGAGCAGAGCTGCCATCTAGGGCACTTGGGGAACAAATGGTGGGGGTTAAGGGCCTTGCTCAATGGCCCAGAGAGGAGCAAATGAGGATGGAGACAGGTGTGGGTGCTTAACCCCCCCCCCCCCCACACACACACACACACACACACACACACACACACATTTTTTATGTTGTCGGTCCAGGGATGGAATCGGTGACCTTTAAATCACAGGCTTGATGATGACGATGATGACGATGATGAACTAATAAGATCATAACTGGCTGTGATTATCGTACCCACCACTGCACCCTGTATTCACTGGTTAACTGGTCATCATTAACTTCACAACTATCTCACTGGTACATTTTTATTTTTAAATCACTTCTTGGTCTGCTGCCTTCATACATCTCCTACATGTCTCTGTGTGAGTGCAGCTGCAGCGTGCGCTCTCAGGACATTATTACCTGCAGTGTTCCCTCAGTAAGGACTGAATTTGGCAATAGGACCTTCTCCTACTCCGCTCCTGTTTCCTGGAATATCTTGCAAAAAGATCTGAAGCTCTTGACCTTGACCTCTCTAAGTGGCTTCAAGAATCTGTTAGACTCCTGACAAGGACCAATACAGACATGTTCCTGTTTTTAGTTTTCTACATTCGCCTTATAATCTAGCTGTTTTTTTTTTTTGTTTGTTTTTTTTACTGTTTTTCCCATCTTATTTTAATTTGTAAAAAAAAAAAAAAAAAAAAAAAATCTACATGCCTTTTTATAACTGTTTATTGTTGTTGCTGTTGTCCACTGTTGTCATCATTCTTTGTTGAAATCCGGTCTCTTGTCAATGAGTCCTCGAGGCTCAATGAGATTAACCTGTCTAAATAAAGGTTGAATGAATAAAATATTCTGTTTAAAACTCTGGCATGAAAAGCTGTGGGTTTGATGTAAACTTTTTAAAAGTTTAAGATCCTTAATTATTTTTAGAAAACAGTACTTTTATGTAAAAGGGTTAATATACAAAGAAAAGACCAGAATCATCACAATTTTATGAAGTTACTTTTATTATATGTGGGTTTTTCCACACATTCCATTTGACTGTTTTGCCTATTGTTTCCACTATGATGTCCGCATAAAGAAAAATTCATGTACAGTACATTTTTCTAAATAAAAGCAACATATGGTGATAAGAGGCTTGCTTATATTCTAGGAAAAAAATCAGAAGTATTGTTGTTGAAAGAAGATTAATACTCATGTGATATACAAAATATAATAAATAAAAGTTATTGAATGTTTATGACTTATTGAATATGAATTAAATAATATGATTATAAGAATATGATTTCTTATCATTCACATAATATTAAGAATAGGAAAATACAACTGTTCCATACCAATTTTTCAAATAAAATATTAGTAAATGCTGCTTTGATTTTATATTTTTCATAATAAAAAGTTAAATTATGATTTCCTTTATTGTTGTCAGAGTCAGAGATTCTTTATTGTCGTTCGCACCACATCTACACATGTGGTGGAGCAAAATTATGTACACAGGGTCCCAGTTACATCCAACAATAAAATGTAAATGAAAAACAATAATAAGATCTAAGATATGAACTAAGAAAAACATCTAAATATACACTAAGCACTAATAGCATAAAAACATTACATCGAACAGCTGCACAAACATGAGTCTGTGTGAACAGATGAGCACACGAACACATCAACATGAAACAGATCAGCAGCAACATGAAACAGATCAGCAGCAACATGATGTGACTTTTCACAGTGATTATTCTGGTTAGAGATTCATGAGTCTAACAGCCTCAGGGTAGAAGCTGTTCCTCAGTCTAGTGGTTCTACACTTAATGCTCCTCAACCTTATTCCTGAGGGGATCGGTGCAAAAAGTGTGTGTGCTGGGTGAGTGGGGTCCTTCATGATGCAGGTGGCCCTCTTCCTGCATCTGGAGGTGTAGATGTCTGTGATGGTGGGGAGACTGACTCCAACAGACTTCTGTGCAGCCTTCACCACTCTCTGCAAAGCTTTTCTTTCTGTTTTGTTGTAATTTTGTTGTAAGAGGTTTGCTAAAGTTGTTTTTTTTTTATTATTATTATTTATATTTTATTGCTTTACAAACTGGAAGTAATGAACCTATAAAAGTATTGCAAAAATAATGAAGAAACATACCTTCATTATTTTGGAAAAATGAAAGTGAATGGGGAAAAACCATTTTGAACCATCCGTCCATACATTATCTTTATCCACGTCTTCCATTTCGGGTCACAGAGAACACTGGTGCCCATGTCCAGCAATCACTGTGTGAGAGACAGAGGACTCCCTGGACAGGTCTCCAGTCCATCATAGGGACACATCGAGACAAACGAGACAAACAACCATTCACTCTCTCTCACACCTACAGTAGGGACTATTTAGATTTACCAATCAGTCTAACATGCATGTTTTTATCTGTGGGAGGAAACTGGAGTACCCTGAGAAAATCCATGCACGCACGAAGAGAACATGCAAACTCCACCTAGAAAGACCCCCGGCAGGGATTTGAGCCAACAACATTCTCACTGAGAGGCAACAGCTCTATCAACTGCGCCACCGTGCCACCCAATTTTGAACCATTTGTTAAAAGTAAACCTAAAAGTAGAATATGTACATTTATTCCCATATTTTCCTTTGAACCCCTTACTCAAAAAATCAAGGTCCAATTGTGAGGAATCCATTCATCTATAGATGTTTTCACCCACTTTTCCTGTCTGGGTCACAGGCAGATGGTGTCTATTTCCAGCAGTCACTGTGTGAGAGACAGAGGACACCCTGGACAGGTCTCCAGTCCATCACAGAGACAAATAGAAACAAAACAAACAACAACTCACACTCTCTCACACCTAGGGGCAATTTTTTGAGTTACTAATTAACCTAGCATGCCTGTTTGCCATAGCAATCATTTGTGGGCAATCTACAGACAGAACTGAACACACACATACTTAACCAATTATATGACAATCACCTGCCTGTGCCTTTTGGCAAGCTTTATAAAAATGAATGGGAACAACATGAACACCATTATATTTTTACAAATGAAACAAGTAGGACAAAATCAAAACTCAAAGGAATCTTTTTTTGTGAAGTTTAGTCTGTGACAGTTATCTGGTATCTGTTTAAATAAGAGCATGCCATTTATGTGTCCCTGTGCATGTGTAGTCCTACCTATTTCATGGTAAAGAGATCCCTGCTTCACCCGGTTTGACTTCTTGGAGCTCGGCATCTCAATCTTCATCACATGTTCACAACATTGTTTCCAGTGTCCTGAAACAAAAAGATTCTTCTGTAGTTTCAAACACCTTTATGGTGTAGCATAAATGTTAGTGATGCAGGAAGAAGGGAAAGGAAACTTGCACTTTCTTTACTACACTTATTGACTTGTTATACCAGCTCACCAGCAGGTCACTTTACTGACCAGCAACAGCTTCATGAATGTATTCACACTTTAATAATCGGAACTCACTGAAGGAGAATGTGTTAATTACAGGGAAATCTATACCATAACAGATGAATATTCATCAAAATGAAAAGACCACATTTGTCTTTTTGAAGTTTTATTACAAAACTTATTTAAAAAAAATGATAAGGATAAGAATTTGAATAGTAACTTGTTTAAAACGTAGTTATTGAATGGAGAAATGATCTGGTTCTCGGACATTGTTTACTCAAAAGAACCACTCTCACTGCAGGTGAAGATTTTTAACAGGCACTTTTACTTGCACGGTCAGATTTAATGACATAAACATACAAAAATGTATACGCATGAAAACCAGTCACAGAAATGAGCCACGAGCTCATTATCTGCTTGTTTGTATAACATTATCAGCTCAGCAGAGTTCACCATAGTTCAGTGGGTGTCCTTGAAGCCAGCTGCAGCCTCACACGGTACTCTTTGTTTGCACAAACATATGGCTCATGGGCATTAAAGACACATCCTTCAGCTCAAGATGAGAGCGTGTTTTGAGAGACAACTAAGCTCGTTGTTCTCTGGGCAGAGAGGAAAAATGTTCTCAGCCACAATAATAAAAGCACAATAAAAACATCCATAACTTTGATCAAATATTCTGACAATGCTTAGACTTTATCAGTATAAAAGGATTAATCAATGGGTAATTGCCTTTCATCTAAAACAAAATAATTTGGGGGATAGAAATTGTTTTGTTTTATACCCGTAACAATTTAGATAAAGTTAAACTTTTTAATAAATTGTTTACTTTGGAGTTTGTTTAAGAGATGTTAATAGATTTGATCAGATTGGGTTATTTACTAAAACTGCAAGCAGGGAAGTGATATTTTGTCAAGTAGTATCAGCTTAAATGGTAAAACCAGACATAGTACTGCATTGATGTCTTCTGGAAGTACAGTCAATGGTTGCTCCATCTTTTCAGGACTTTGGAGACTGATCAAGCCTACAAAACTCCTCGCAGGAAACAACTTACAGCTCAGCGGATCCTTGTAAATCCTTGTAAATCCTTGTATATCAGGTTTCTCTTATAAATGAGTCCTCGAGGCTCAGTGGGATTTACCTGTCTAAATAAAGGTTGAATGAGTTGTAGGATCGTACCAGACACTCATCCAAGGTGACCGAGGTGAGACATTTACAGGGTCGGCAGGAAGACAGCTGATGAGAATAACGGGTGATAAGAAGTCCAAAGATAATCTCAAAGCAGTAAAACCTTGCAGTAAAAAAAGATTCATGTGTAACCAGGATAATCACTGTGAAAAATACAGCATGTTGCTGCTGATCTGTTTCATGTTGCTGCTGATCTGTTTCGTGTTGCTGCTGATCTGTTTCGTGTTGCTGCTGATCTGTTTCGTGTTGCTGCTGATCTGTTTCGTGTTGCTGCTGATCTGTTTCATGCTGCTGTGTTCATTCGTGCTCATCTGCTCACACAGACTCATGTTCGTGCTGCTGTTTGGCGTATGGTTTTAATGCTACTAGTACTTAGCATATTTTTATTAACGTTTTTCTTAGTTCATATCTTAGATCTTGTTACTGTTTTTCTTTTACATTTTATTACTTTTGTTGGATGTAACTGGGACCCTGTGTACACAATTTCGTTCCACCACATGTGGTGGAATGACAAAGAACCTTGAATCCTTGAATGCTTGAATCCCACAGAGTCGTGGCAACTCTTAAACTGAGTTCATTGTGAAATCAAAGCATGTAAAATATGTTGAAACATTTGAACATTTCATATGATTTCACAATAATATTAATTGCAAATAATAATCAACATAATTCATATTTTAAACATTTTGCAATAAAAAAGCTTCATTTGTGATTTTTTTTTTCTTTCTTAAAAGATTAAAAGGAATGTGTGAAGATTTATCAAACTCTAAGTGATGAGGAGATCTGGGACAGTGAATGTGTGAAAACATCAGACATTATTCAGGTCAAAGTAACATTAAAGAAAACAGTTCAGGGTGGTTATGAAAGGTAAATGGACTGTACTTATATAGTGTCTTTCTACCTTATCAAGACACTCAAAGCTCTTTACAACACAACCTGTGCCCTCATTTACCCATTCATACAGCACTCTACTAGATCTCTACAAAGACTAATCAGAGCTTTATCACTTTCATACACTGATGGGACACACATCAGAGGCAATGAGGGGTTCAGTGTCTTGCCCAGGGACACTTCAACATGTGACTGCTGGTGGAATCAAACCCCCAACTCTTGCATTGGAGGACGACTGCTCTAACCACTCGGCCATATGTGAGCTCAGGGTCAGTGTTTGTGGTCAGCAAAGCGCATTTTCATTTTTCATTCGACCTTTATTTATACAGGTTAGTCTCATTAAGCCTCAAGGACTCATTTACAAGAGAGACCTGTTTTAAACAAAGAACACAGATGACAACAATAGACAATCATAAAAAAGCATATAAAATGAAAAGTAAATAAGTCAAGTCAACTTTATTTATAGAGCACGTTTAAAACAGAAACTGCTATCAAAGTGCTTAACAATAACATTAATGAGAATAAAATTAATGGAAAAAAAATAGCAAACACTAATGATAATACTGTACTGAAGAATTAATTAAAATCATTAAAAACATAGGAATACAGAACAAAAAAGACTACATCAACTCAAACTGTGTGAAATGCCAGAGAAAACAGATTATATGTTTTTAGCAGAGATTTGAACACAGGAAGGGAGGTGGTCTGCCTAATGTTGGGGGTCAGGTTGTTCCAGAGTTTGGCGCCGATGACTGAATATGCCTGATCCCCTCTGAGCTTCAGTCTTGTTTTTGGAACAGCCAAAAGCAGCTGATTGGATGAGGGAACATACATGGTTCCAGTATAGAGTTGCATTTGTGCCTAAAAAATCTGACCCAGCCCCAACCCCAGCCCGTAAACATTTTTTCCTGACCCAACCCTATCCAATCAAATTAACTGTAATTACAGGCCCGAACTGGAAAAAAGCCCAACATTGTTTTTATTAAGCTTTTACTGCTTTTGTAAGCAAATCATTTTGTCATAATATTTTTAAAAAGTATTTCAAAGAAAGGAAGATGTAAGATTTATTGTTTCACCAAATGAATACTAACATACAAAACAAACAGCCTAAAACATCAACTGTAAAGATAGACTATTATACAAATGAACAAAACTATTTTTAGTGCTAAACTATTTGGAAAAATATAGAACAAGTCTATTTTAATTAAACGCGCTTCTTACTTCAGCTTTTGTAGATGCTGCTAATTCCTTCACCACAGAAGACAGCAGGGTGCAAAGACGTGCACGGCCGGTGATCAGCTGATTCATCCATCCATCCATTATTTTTACCCGCTTCTTCCATTTTGGGTCACGGGGGTCACCGGTGCCCATGACCTGCCATCACTGTGTGAAAGGTGGGGGACACCCTGAACAGGTCACAAGTCAATTTTAACCGGCAAGTCAGCAGACACACATGGCCGGTGACAGGTTGTCCATCTGAGCTTAACGCAACTTTTTGTACCTCTTTAAACCGCCGGTTGAACCTGCCTCCTCCTCAACAAGTAGATTAACACAATTTTATATTGTGCATTCTTATTTAGTTTTCTTTGTGCAGTATGATTCGTAAAACCGCAGGAACCAGAGCCCAAATGCGCAATTATTGCACAATGCGCCAGCGATCTCTTCCACAGTCTGATTAACTGATGCACTCCTCTTTCTTTCTTCATCCTCTCTACATATAAACTTCCTGCCTCCTCAGAGGAGTTTAAAGGAGGCTCCTCCTCTAAGTAGATTAACACAATTTTATACTGTGCATTCTTATTTAGTTTTATTTGTGCTGTATGATTTGTAAAACCACATTAAAGCCTGAGACTGGCCCGGCCCACACATTAATAACATTATAATGGCCCAGACTGGTCATAATCCGGGTCGGTCTGGGCCGGTTTCGGGTTCGGGTTAGAAATGACAGCTCTATTCTAGTAGCTTAGAAAGATAAAGGGGTGCAAGGCAATTTAGGCACCTATTATAGGTCAACAAAAAAACTGTAAAGTATATTCTAGTACACACAGGGAGCCAATGAAGTGAGGACAGAACTGGTGTAATATGCTCAAACCTATGAGTTCCTGTTAAGAGCCAAGCAGCAGCATTTTGGACGAGCTAGAGATGCGAGATGGAGGCCTGGCTGACCCCAGCATAGAGTGCATTGCAGTAGTCCAATCGGGTCGTGATAAAGGCATGGACTAGTTTCTCAAGGTTGGGTCTGGACAACACTGGCTTGAGCTTAGCTACCTGCCTTAATTGGAAGAAGCTTTTCTGCAGAATAGAGTTGATTTGTTTGTCAAACTTGAAGTCAGAGTCTAAAACCATCCCGAGATTTTTAACAGACTGCGTAAGATATGACTGAAGGGAGTCCAGGTTTACGTGAAGATATAATTATATACAGAAGAATTATATACAAAACAAAAGCAGCTACATTATAAAGCGATGTAAAATACTAAAAACAGGAACATGTCTGCATTGGTTTTTGCCATGAATTTAGAAGTTGTTTCAAATCCCTTAGAGTGATCAAAGTCGAGTGCTTCAGATCTTTTTGCAAGATATTCCAGGAAACAGGAGGAGAGTAGGAGAAGGTCCTTTTGCCAAGTTCAGTCTACACTGAGGGAACACTGCAGGTAATAATGTCTTGAGAGCGCACGCTGTAGCTGCACTGATGAAGTGACATGTAGGAGGAGATGTATGAAGGCAGCAGAACAAGAAGTGATTTAAATATGAAAATGTACCAGTGAGAGAGTTTGCGGGAAGTTAATGATGAACAATTGAG